GCTACCGTTTGCACGTCTCATCACCTTCGTCGTATCACATCATCTGACGGCTCCAAGGTCGGCGCCAAGATCTGTGGTGTCGAGTTCGGAGCCATGTATTCTGACGCCGAGGTACCGGCCACGTCAACGTTACCTAGAATGCCCTGCTGTGCACGGCCTGGCACTTCAGAGCCAAGATCTGTGGCGCCGAGACATGTTACCTCGACGCCATAAGTCCTGACGCCGACCTCAGGATCAAAAATAAGTTTACGTCTTCTAGAAGACCAAACGTAAATTTTCTTTAAAAAAAGGACCAAATTGTAAAAAATTGAGGCGACGTGCTGTGTCAGTGACCGTGACTGACCGTGAGTCAAATGTGTTAGCTTAGGGTCCCAATGTAAATGTAAGATGGTCCATATGGGCCAATTTAGAAGTTTGGCCACATCAATTGAATTCTTGACGTATTATTGCAGACCGTCAAAAACCGTTATCACACGAGCAAACCATCCCCCTCGGATAAAATGTCACGTAAATCATGATTTACACAGCGGACAATGCCCGTCTTCGTTAACTAGTATATTACCCGTGCTAACGCTACATATCACATTAAATCCAAAGTTAATCCTATCAAATTTGAAGTACTTAGCTAATTGTACTTTGTCAAACTTGTTTCTACAGCACTGAACTGAGCACATCCTGCCTCAACTATCATCAGTGTCCCTAGACACCAGTCAAATAACAAAAAAAAGAGCTATTTTATATAGGGAGAACATTGGTGTGCAGGTGCAGCTCGGAGCACATCTGTCATCCTCAGTCCAGGCACATATCTTGGCCTACCTTGCCTACAGTGGATTCAGCACCCGCCTCTCTCAGCTTCATCCATTCACCCAGACGAGTACATGAACTGATCCAGTTCGGAGCCAACTCCACCAAGTTACCCAGAGTCAAATCTTGCATGATCAGGGACCACCCATCTCAATCATCTCAGGTCTTGAGTTTGCTGCTTCCAAAGAAAAACTGAAAACCACTGGTTGAATTGGTTCAGAGAGTCCAAACATCATTCCAAAAGTATAAATTATTTCTTAGCTTCCACAAATCCCGTAGAGCTACTGAACTGAACATTTTTAAAGCTACGTGTTAAAATAAGTAGACAAACAAAAAAACAGCAAAACCAGCAAAAAAAAAGGAGGCTGCAATCAGGAGGATAGGGTTCAAGCATGAACTTGGGCGATAGTGGGTGCAAAGTATCTAATAGCTTTATCTATGTCAATATTTTTTATATAAAAAAAGCTCATATGGATGGTCTTGCTTGTTCGATAAAAAAGGGACTGGCATTTAAATGACATAAGTTTGTCTCTTCTCAATCTTTCTCTCAACTTGTTCACCTTATAGGTAGAATTTCTTAGGAAAAAATGATTGAATTAGAGACCACATTAGAGTTTTCTATTAAGAAAATCACGCTGCCCCAAGATCCCAAAGAAAATTCATAATAGTTGTATCCGTGTCAAGAATAGATGCTTATGTTACACAGACAGTGATCATAATTCACAACATGGCTACCCAGTGATCCTAAGGTTCAATTCCTCAGAAATTTCAGAATATGCCTAAATGCCAACACAACTTTATTTGTGGAGCTTGAACCAAAGAAATATACAAAAGGATCAACAAGTCAGTGTTAGAAGTTGGATGGGGGATTTTAGTACAGAAGGATCACAACATGTTAGTGAGTAGCAGAGGAGACAAGCATTAGCTGCATATCTTTTTATGCATCATTATTAACTTAAGGTCCATTCTGGATGCAACTATTGAAACCTTTTATATTCCTCAAAACTTCTAAAGACAAATTCCATCTATTAGATATTAATGAACCAAGGCAATGGGAAGCAATTTTTTCAATTTCACCAATTTACTCCAAACAACTGAATCATCGTTCTTTTCAAGAACCTGGATCATGAATGCATCCCTCATCTCAACAAGAAACCTAATATCTACTCCAAAAAATTGTTGAATAGTATTATATTTATACACATAACCTAATGTCCACCCCTTGATAAGCTCCCTGACATGGCGCGCCGCCAGGTCCTCGCATCTCACGGCCCCCACCACACGGCGCCGGCAGTGAAGTACGCCACCGCAAGGTCCTCACCAGTGGCGCTGGAGCCTCATGACAAATCAAATGCAATTGATTGAAAAGAAACTGTATGCACGAGTATGAGTCATGTCCACGGCATTTGTTCGTGCTTACCAGGTGAAATTTGAGAATGTATTGTCCATAATAGAACATAGTAGTGAGGCGTCTGTATGCTTTCATCACCATGAACAACTGGAGAAGACCTCTGTCCTCCTAATACCTTCCGTGAGTGCAAAATTATGAAGAGAAGCCTGTTGTAACATCCCCATTATACAGTACCTAATAAAAAACATAGCTTGTGATCAGAACACTCACTTTGCAGAATAACTGGACTCGTAGATAGAATAATGGGAAACGGAACTGAATGAAGAGTATACAATCCATGTCCAAATAAATGAAATCCAAAGAACATCCTCCAATCTGGTTCAACTTAAGCGAGAGAAAATCCAACACATGACGGTCCATCCAACTAATCCAATCAAATGAAAGACGAATTCAGTCAGCGTACCAAACGCATTCACCCCTGAAACGCTTCCATGGATGTGCACCTGCTGAGCACCCCTTCGTCTTCGGCTTCCTCGCCTACCACCGTCAACACGTGCTCCATTCCACGAGAGATCTTCAGTGGATCCACTCGAATGGAAGACTATGGTCAGACGGATTTGCCACCCGGCGCGGCCGCGCGGCCGTGGAGTGCCGGAGCCCGGCACGCCCTGCCCCTGCCTCCCCTTCACCCGCCTCGCCGCTCGCCGGCCGTAGTCGCCTTCGTCACTTCGCCCATTCCCCACCGCCGCAGGACTGTTTCCTCGACTCGATGCCCTAGAGGGGCGCCCGCCGGAGCTGCCGCGGTGGCCCAGCTCGCCCGCCGCCGGGGAGCTCGACCGTCGCGGGGGCCGAGCACGCCGCCTATCCCGGCCCCTGCACCCGGCCGCCGCAGCGAGAAGGAATGTCGACGTCGCCTGGGACGATGGGTGGTGGATCGTCTTCCGGGTGGGCGTCTCCCTGGACACGCTCCGGCCCACGGGGCCCGAGCGCTGCATCACCCCACCGGAGCTGCACTCCTTTTCCCCCTGCCGCCATCACGTTGTCGATCTGGAAGAGAGAGGAGGGTGATGGGGAGAAGAGGGATTGGTACCATGAGGGGAGGGGAGGGGAGAGATTCCAGGCTTCGATCGGTCCTTCTCGTCCGTTTCCTTCTGCGGGAGGTCCGTGGGAGGGAGGACGATGGAGGGTAGACACAACGAACATCAGCCGTCGGATTTAGATGAGTAATGGCTAAAAGATAATCTGGTGTATCTGTTTTGATGGTGTTATATTTTGTGTGTGCATTAATGAGTGTGGATGTAGCATAGGTAATGACTGTGGAATAGATATTTATTGTGTGGCTATAGATTTATTCTAACTGATATATTATAGGGTATGGTAGACAAATTAAATAAAAAACAAAGGAAAACTAACGAGCCCATTGATGGGCCTACTGAGCCCATCCACAAAGGCCAGCTAAGGTCATCGACGTGTCGCCGCTTGCTGGATCTGCTCGCACACCGTCGTTCCTCGCCAGATCCGTCGATGCGCCACCACGCGCTCCTCACCTGGTCTGCCCACGCGCCACTGCTCCTCGCTAGACTGTCCGTGTGCCGTTGCCACTGCTCATATCTGGATCACCGTCATCAAGCCCATTGTGGCCACCACGGTTGATATATTTAACGCACACAGATAAATCCACAAGCGCACGGATATCGCTGTAGCTTTTATCCAGAGGTAAGTATCATATCTACAGGAAAACGTATAAGACTAAATACAGTCTAACTTAACTAGAGGTAGCAACAAGGTTAGGAAAAATAGAAGCGTAGATGATAACTAAGGTTTTCTTGTTCTGACTTGGGTAAGCTTATGTCTTCTACTATTCAACTAGGGATATTACTAGGGAAACACACCAACAGAGGATGCTTTCCTTCGCACCGCGTCCTACATACGCCTACAGACAGGAGGTGTACTACTAAGGATCAACGAAGCTGTATAGTATAGGCTATATAGAACTTATGTCACTCACGCTATCTACCACTTTGCGAAATGCAGGGTGCATGCACGATTAACCTAAGTCGAAGCACCACGCTTACACTTACGATTAGTACTCTACTCTCCATAGGAAGAGAATAAAGCACTTAAAAGGGAGTCGTGAATCTGAAAACAATATAAACAAGATGCTTACTTGAATCAGAAGTTGATTACCAGAGAAATCTTAGACGCAAAGCTCAGATAGAACTTGAATCCACCAAAGTACAAGCAGTAGAGAGAGCACCGACAAGCCGGCATATATTCAAAACTCTTCCCTTGCTCTCTATCTCACTATTTCTAATTATAAGACTAAATCCTAAAGATGATTAATCTTCTCTTGAAGGCTGGCTCTGATCCTGATGAGGAGAATATGAATTAGGGTTTTATGATGGCTCCAGGGAGGGTGATAGGGACTGGTATATATAGGCGGGAGCGTCCAACGTAAGCCCTTGGATCAAACCGATTTAAAGGACGGCGTAGATGCAACTTAGGAGGCGGTGGAGAACCGACATAACAATGGGAGGCTGACATTGGGGGCCCACAGATCGGGCGGCCTCATGCAGACTGATATCTCATTCTAATTGCTGCTACCACTGTCCTCTTGATGTGCCACTTCTTTTTCACGGGTCTGTTCCTCCTTATCAATCTGCTCCTCTTCTTCCTCTTGATGTCTCACACTGTTTGGAAAAATAAGATGAAGAGTTTGGTGAGGAAAATGGGGTCACGTGAATGTAGAACTGACTGGTACCCTAGTGGAACTTTATTTGATACCTCTAGTTCAGTCTCTCCATCAATAGCTTGGTTTGCTTGATCCAAAGTTTGAGCCACTCATTCAATAATCCCCCCCCACTTTTGATTCAACTCCCTCAAAGCCTAGAAGAGAAGAGACAATTTTTTAATTATTGAACGGTCATGTATATATATGGTAGATGGAAGAAAGAAGTATGCATTGGCCGCGGCTAGAAGGGAAGTGGAAACGGAAATATAAATAAGAGAGTCGAAATGAACTATTTAACTGCACAGCCAAGTAGGAGAAGTTGCTAAATGGAAGAGAGGAGTATGTCAGCAACTGAGAGGTTGAGAGAACCGAGCAGCGCTCGGATGGCTAGCACAGCGCCGGTGGGCTTGCAGCCGGCACGAGTTCGATTCCTAGGAATCGTCTCTCACCAGAGTTCGCCCCCAAATAAATTATTATGTTGCCTCTTACGTGGAGCCACAGAGGGAATGCAACGTGCCTCATTGTCTATGGGTCCATGGTTGGACCCGGTGATCTCACAAATGTTGCCTCTTACGTGGAGCCACAAAGGGAATGCAACGTGCCTCATCGTCTATGGGTCCATGGTTGGACCCGGTGATCTCACAAATGTTGCCTCTTACGTGGAGCCACAAAGGGAATGCAACGTGCCTCATCGTCTATGGGTCCATGGTTGGACCCGGTGATCTCACAAAAGACGCGATCTAGTGATCTGAGTATAGTTATATGTTTATTTATATACGTATGGTGTGAATGTGGTGTGCGTGTGTGTGGGGCAGCGCTACTAAGATGAGAAGCGTCGAAAAAAAAACTGAGAGGTTGATGGAACCATCAATGCATGTTGTTATGTGAGGGAACTTACAGATTTCCGCCTTGTTTAGTTCCACCCTAAATTCTAAAAAGTTGCTACAGTACCTATCACATCGAATGTTTGCGGCCCGTGCATGGAGCATTAAATGTAGACGAAAAGAAAAATTAATTGCACAGTTTGGTGGGAAATTGCGAGACGAACGTTTTGAGCCTAATTAGTCCATGTTTGAACACTATTTACCAAATAAAAACGAATGTGCTACAGTAACCCCAAAATCCAAAATTCGCGAACTAAACAAGGGCTCCAAATGTTTGCAGTCAACTCTTTGAAGCTGGCAGTGGGACGGTTGGGAAGTGTCTCGATGGCAGCATTAATGGCTCTTGAAATACATCGGGCAGTGTCATCATGATCATCTTCCACTGGGTTGTAGTCCACGTCATACTCATGCCAGTCGCTACCAATTTCGATCTCAGCCTTGTTGAGAGACGAGAGGTGCTGGATGCCCAAACTAGAAGCACCATTCAAGCACTCCATCTCATGCGCACGAAACTCAAGCTTCACGTGCTCAAGCTTTGGCATTGATCCCGCTTCAAACTCCAGGGAGGTCCCACAAAACTTGATACGCAGGGAGAAATATTTTAGACTTCTGAATCCGCTGTTGCCAGGGAAGACGATCCTTCCGCCAGTGCCCCCGGTAGTGACTAGGTTGAGAAAAACCAAACTGGGTATTTCTCCAAGGATCTCAACATCTTCTGGTCTCACACATATGACCTCCAGTTCTAGCACACTGAGGGCCTGTTTAGACGGCGAAAATCTTTGCGAAATGCACCGTAGCACGTTTCGTTATTATTTGACAATTAGTGTCCAATCATAGTCTAATTATGCTTAAAAGATTCGTCTCGTGAATTTCGTCTAAACTGTGTAATTAGTTTTATTTTTTATTTATATTTAATGCTTCATGCATGCGCCCAAAGATTCGACGTGACGGAGAACCTGAAAAATTTGGTAAAATTTTCTGGAACTAAACTGGACCTGAGGTTTACAAGTGATCCCATCCAATTTGACACCCTATAGATGGGAATTCTTTCAATGCAGAGCTTGCGGATGCTACAGGAGGCTGCAGGGTGCCATGAATGTAGCGGCAGTGGGTAAACTATAATGGAGAACCAAACATTGGTATATATAAGATGAAGCAGGTTGCATGAAGATAATAAATTTCCAACATAACTGTGAATGCGCTCGGCTTGGCTTCTTCCTTCTGAGCCATTATTTGGTGTATAAACATCGCATCTAATTTTTAGTGTCCTCAGTTTGGTGAGTTTGCTGAATTCTTGTATGGACTTCGCTTGCCCGTAGGATTCGACTCCATACCTCCTCAGCTCTTCCAAGCTGTGCATCTTTCCTATTGTTCCTTCTGGAAATCTAGTATCCCAATCAACATATAAACGAGTCAGTTGTTGAAGTTCCGTGATAGTTCGTGGTTGTTCTCTGATACGAGTGCCTCGCACATCCAACGTCTGTAGATGATGTAGTTCACCAACAGTCTCTGGGAGCCCAGTTATGAAACATGAGCAGAGACGCAAGTACTTAAGATTAAACAACTTCCCAATACTTGCAAGATGATGGTACATGCCATAGTGTTCTCTTTGGTCCAACACACGAAGAGGAGTGGAAGGCAACAAAGAGATTTTCACAGGCTCTCCAAATATAGTAACTGACCGAACATGAGACAAGATCTGGTCTGCCCACAAAGTAACATTTTCTTCATTGTCGTTGCTCACACAAAGCCTACGAACCTTGTATTCTGATGCATATACAGGCTCTGCAGCATCAAATGAAGTTACAAAATTCTCTTCAGTGGCCTTGCATTTGATGTAGTCAAGGATGATGTCATGCACTCGACATTCCTTCGCCTGACCATACTTTACTCTAACAGGTTGGATCATACTTCTGTTGATCAGATCATTGAAGTAACGCTCACCAATTTCATATTCATTTTGACCTTTTTCCTTATGAATGAACCCTTCTGCAATCCACCTATTGATCAAACATTGTTTCACAATCTTACAATCTTCTGGGTACACACTCAAGTACAACAAACAACTTCTTAGATGGTGAGGAATATCAAAGTAACTCATAGATAATATGGCCGTCATATTCTCAGCACTAGGATTCTTAGCAAGAGAAGAACCAATATCATTTAGTACACTGTCCCATTCACCTTTTGCGTGCTGATCAGCTAACATGCTAGATATAGTGATGATTGCTAATGGTAAACCATCACATTTTCTTAATATCTCATCCGGAGCAGTACCCAAATGAGTATAGCATAAGCTTTCAGAACCAAATGCTCTTTTAAAAAGCAACCTCTTGGAGTCCTCAAAACTGAGAGATTTCATTTGGTAAATATTACCGCCTTGGGAAGACAAGTATGATGCAACACCATTGCTACGTGTTGTAGTGATTACTCTGCTACCACAATTGTTATTCATTAATGCAAGCTTGATGGTCTCCCATGGTTTTGCATCCCATACATCATCAACTACAACGAGGTACCTGCAAATAATTTTAACAACGATGCAGTTAGTGCTGAAGCCTGTAAGGCTATATTGTGTGTGCCAATGACATTTTGTTGAAGTGTGGCAAAAATACATACAGGTCTATGTGAATGGTATTATGAGTAGCGATACTTTTGCAGAGGTAATAGAGATTTACATCCTAATAACTCCAATCCACTAAGGTATTAAAGATTTACATCCTAATAACTCCAATCCACTACGAAAATGGTGGAGTTCTCTTAGTGTTTTTAAGTAGTAATAAAACACTACAACTAGTCATAGCACATGAGAATCCTCACTGGGAGGCATTTGGAAGGGAAAGTTTATACTAAATGTTGAATGCAGATTCTGGTTGCGATCATTAGGTGTGTTAGGATTTCAAAATATCTTTAAATGTATACTTCGTCCACATATTTCTCTTACAATATTTCATCTATTGGGTACAAAATAAATATCTTATTATATCATCAATTACTATAAAATAAATGCCATGTTAAATATTCAATATTTTTTCTTATTCATCTAAATTTCAAATTTCAATGCACTAAGCATGCATGTGATTTGCAATTTACCAATTATTGGTCAAATTTTATCAACTTTAACCTTTTATTATCTTATTATGTGCACTAAAAAGAAACCGACGGAGAAGTAGATGTAACTTAATTTTTTATTATATTCTTCCCGGCAATAAGGTGTTAGTTCCTAGCAGTAAATATTACTCCTACATAAAGGGAACAGCTCTCCAAGTCCTATAGCCCCGTACAACATTATTGAACTTTGTCATATCATAACCCTAAAATAACAGCTACATTTGGGCGCACTTATGCTAGCCACACTAGCTAGGTTTTACTTCATCCATTTGGCATATTAGTGTCGTATGCATAGACAAAGGAGTTATAAGAATGAGAAAAAAGAATAATAAATAATCACAAATCCTTGCTTGAGTTCTATCTGCTAATATTATATTGAAGTACATGTAGAAGGTAGAAAGATTTTAGTAAGTACACTAACATTTCAATGAATGCCTTAATGGACATGCAAACAAAAATCTAGCCCTTCTGAAATGGATCGGAAACATGGCAATTAAAAATGGAGATACAATTTGTTTCAATGTCATACAATTTGTTTCAATGTCTAAACAACAAATATCTAATGAATGTTGTATAAGAGTGAATTCCGGAAAAATAAAGTTATTTCTAACCAACTGTAGAAGAAATATATTTTTTGGAATAGTTTGAAAGAAATTAACTAGTTGTGCTCACATAATGCAAAACGAGCTTTATATTGTGGAAACCAAAGAAAAGTGACTGTAGTTTTGTAATGTTTTTGTAGTTTTGTGTAATTATTGGAGCAAAATATATAGTTAAGTTCTCTGAAACTATTCTCAAATTCTGTGGTTTCTTTATAGATGCAAATAGTTGTAATTAAATCCAGATGAAACTTTAGTGGGGTTCCTTGTTGAACTTTAGTAGGGACAGTGGAGGTGTGGTGCGCCCGTTGGGAACTTGGGGAGTTGGGATGCCTTGACGACCGAAGTTGCAAACATTAGCTACCTGCCTACCTTTTGCTACGCGTCTTGGCTCCCACTAATTAACTCAGTGCATGCTATTAGCATATTGCTCACCAAGTTTTCAATTTAAATATCAATACAGTGATGGCAGAAATTAGAAATTCAAAATTTTACATATGATGATGGTTAGAAGATAATAAATAATATAACTTTTATGAAAAGCGATTCTTGGTGAACGGATTCTTCTGTTTCTGTTTTTACCCCTAGGCAAACTCCTCTGGATAGGAGGTATTCTAGTCTTAATAAATTCGGGTTGTCTTGTTTGCCCATGTTCATGTTTTACTTTTTAAGGCCCTACGAATTTTTTCCAAAAAATAAATTATTTTATATAAAGATTTTATTTATTGGTAAAATAAAAAAAACTCGATCCGCGGGGGACGACGTCCCACTGGGTATTTCATTAAGAATAAGACATTCTCATACAGACCGAGAAAATCCTCGAACCCTGGCCCCACCCATGTATAGCGGCACCACATCTCCGTGAGACAGGACGGCCATAGACCTGTACTTTAGTGTGGGACAGACGAGGGGATTTTTTTTACCCTCAAGCCTGAAATTCGTCCCCGAGGGGGATCGAACTCAGAACCTGAGGGGTGCTACAGGAAGCGTCGACCAACCGGTCTAGTTTCCATTGGCTTTATTGGTAAAATGATCAGTTTAAAAAGAAACATATAGACTAGAATAATGGAATATTCTTTCTCAACCAAAAAAACTAGGGGAGTTTCGCATCTAAAACCATGGCATTCAAAATAAATGCCATCTGAGCAAGTATGTTCAAACTTTGGTTTGTTGCTTGGTCTACTTAGAATCAAGGGCTAATTAGATATATGCTATTACAAAAACACCATTTTTAAAGCAGACCACCACAACTCACGAACCGTGCCAGTGCCATTATATTTGTGCTTGACTTTGATTTCGTTAGCAATCTTATGGCGAGCTTTCAGTTTGTTGAGCCTCTGAAGGAGGCTGAATCCCGTAGGTCTACGGTGCTCATGGTCGACCTTGGCCATGAAGGTGTCGATGCAGTCCTCGACGTCCTAGGCCAGCTCACGTACCTTGTCCCTCCAGCCTCTCATCTGGTGGTTGAGATCCTATGCATCTACAAGCATCTGGAGTGTGGCGCTCATCGTACTCAGCTCGTCTCGCAAGAAGCTGATTTGCCTTCGCACCCATTTGAGCTTGACGTACTTGTCGCTCAGCAGTTTGGTGAGCTTGGACAGGAGCGGCTTCAACACCCCCGTGGAGACGCTCAACAGAGCAGCCTCCGCCATTGCTCTGCTGCTGGATGCTCTGTGTTGTGATTTGTGAAAGCATGCAGGTGATGCAGTGGCCTTCCGGTTGTACTACAAATCAAAATGTAAAATTAGTTTTTGTATTTAAAACCTCCAGACTCTGGTTCATTGATAAATCTCGTTTTAGATGAGATAAATTCAAGTGACAACAAAATTTGTGTGCCTGATACAAACAAAAGGGTAATATGTGTCCGCTCCAGGCAAATGTGAATGTGCCAAGCCTTTATTGGAAACTAATTAGAATTTTACAACCAGTAGCAACCACAGCAAAGCAAATCTGCAATCCAGAGCAACGTAGAAAACATGAACTTCCACAACAGTTTTTTTATTGAACTTCGAGGTAGATACGAGACACGTTCATCAGGCAAATGCCCAAGATCAAAGTAGCCAACCAATCCACCTCATGCAGACTAATATCACATTCTAATTGCTGCTACCACTGTCCTCTTGGTGTGCCACTTCTTTTTGACCAGTCTGCTCCTCTTCTTCCTTTTCATGTGTCTCATCCTGCTTGGAAAAAGAAGATGAATTTGGTGGGGAAAATGGGATCACATGAATGTAAAACTGACTGGTAGCATAGTGGACCTTTATTTGATACCTCTAGTTCAGTCTCTCCATCAGTAGTTTGGTTCGCCTGCTCCTCTGTAATTTGCCAAAGTTTGAGCCACTCATTCAATAACCCATCGTGATATTGATTCCACTCCCTCAAAAACTGAAGGAGAAAAAAAAAACAAACTGCTCAATTGAACGGCCAAGTATATATATGCTAAATGGAAGAAAGAAGTATGCATTGGCCGCAGCTAGAAGAGAAGTGGAAACGGAATATAAACAAGAGAGTCGAAATAAACTATTTAACTGAACAGCCAAGTAGGAATAGTTGCTAAATGGAAGAAAGGAGTACGTGGTTGCAGTAACTGTGGCCTTGTTTAGTTCCAAAAAGTTTTTCCAAAAAGTACTACAGTAGCTATCACATCAAATCTTGCGATACGTGCATGGAGTATTATATGTAGACGGAAAAAAAAAAACTAATTGTACAGTTTGGTGGGAAATCGTTAGACGAACGTTTTGAGCCTAATTAGTCCATAATTAAACACTAATTGCCAAATAAAAACGAAAGTGCTACCGTAGCCAAATTCCCAAATTTCGCGGAACCATCAATGCATGTTGTTGTGTGAGGGAACTTACGGATTCGAAATCTTCACAGTAGCTATAGCTATGATGTACTCTTCTGAAGCTGGCAGTGGGACGCTTGGGAAGTGTCTCGATGGCAGCATTAATGGCTCTTGAAATACATCGGGCAGTGTCATCATGATCATCTTCCACTGGGTTGTAGTCCTCGTCATACTCATGCCGGTCGCTACCAATTTTGATCTCAACCTTGTTGAGAGACGAGAGGTGCTGGATGCCCAAACTAGAAGCACCATTCAAGCACTCCATCTCATGCGCACTGAACTGAAGCTTCACGTGCTCAAGCCTTGACATTGATCCCGCTTCAAACTCCAGCGAGGTCCCACAAAAGTTGATACACAGGGAGAATTGTTTCAGACTTCTGAATCCGTTGTTGCCAGGGAAGGCGATCCTTCCGCTAGTGCCCCCCCCAAGTGTCTAGGCTGAGAAAAAGCAAACTGGGTATTTCTCCAAGGATCTCAACATCTTCTGGTCTCACACAGATGATGAACAGTTTTAGCACACTGAGGTTTACAAGTGAGCCCATCCAATTTGGCACCCTATAGATGGTAATATTTTCAATGCAGAGCTTGCGGATGCTACAGGAGGCTGCAGGGTGCCATGAATGTAGCGGCAGCGGGTACTTCATAGGGAACCACCCCCTCTTACGTCTTGTTTAGTTCCACCTCAACTTTCAAAAAGTTGCTATAGTACCTGTCACATCGAATGTTTGTGGCCCGTGTATGGAGCATTAAATGTAGACGAAAAGAAAAACTAATTACACAGTTTGGTGGGAAATTGCGAGACGAACGTTTTGAGCCTAATTAGTCCATATTTGAACACTATTTGTCAAATAAAAACGAACGTGCCACAGTAGCCTCAAAATCTAAATTTCTCCAACTAAACAAGGGCTTAGTATATATAAGATGATGCAGGTTGCATGAAGATAATAAATTTCCAACATAACTGTGAATGCGCTCGGCTTGGCTTCTTCCTTCTGAGTCAATTGGTTTATAAACATCGCATATAATTTTTAGTGTCCTCAGCTTGGTGAGTTTGCTGAATTCTTGTATGGACTTGGCTTGCCCGTAGGATTCGACTCCATACCTCCTCAGCTCTTCCAAGCTGTGCATCTTTCCTATTGTTCCTTCTGGAAATCTAGTATCCCAATCAACATATAAACGAGTCAGTTGTTGAAGTTCCGTGATAGTTCGTGGTAGTTCTCTGATATGAGTGCCTCGCACATCCAACATCTGTAGATGATGTAGTTCACCAACAGTCTCTGGGAGCCCACTTATGGACCATGAGCAGAGACGCAAGTACTTAAGATTAAACAACTTCCCAATACTTGCAAGATGATATTTTTCCATGCCATAGTGTTCTCTTAGGTCCAACACACGAAGAGGAGTCGAAGGCAACAAAGAGATTTTCACAGGCTCTCCAAATATAGTAACTGACCGAACATGAGACAAGATCTCGTCTGCCCATAAAGTAACATTTTCTTCATTGTGGTTGATGACACAAAGCCTACGAACCTTGTATTCTGATGTATATACAGGCTCCGCAGCATCTAATGAAGTTACAAAATTCTCTTCAGCGGCCTTGCATTTGATGTAGTCAAGGATGATGTCATGCACTTGACATGCCTTCACCTGACCATACTTTACTCTAACTGGTTGGATCATGCTTCTGTTGATCAGATCATTGAAGTAACGCTCACCAATTTCATATTCATTTTGACCATTTTCCTTATGAATGAACCCTTCTGCAATCCACCTATTGATCAAACATTGTTTCTCAATCTTGTGATCTTCTGGAAACACACTCAAGTACAACAAACAACTTCTTAGATGGTGAGGAATATCAAAGTAACTCATAGATAATATGGCCGTCATATTCTCAGCACCAGGATTCTTAGCAAGAGAAGAACCAATATCATTTAGTACACTGTCCCATTCACCTTTTGCGTGCTGATCAGCTAACATGCTAGATATAGTGATGATTGCTAATGGTAAACCATCGCATTTTCTTAATATCTCGTCCGGAGCACTACCCAAATGAGTATAGCATAAGTTTTCAGAACCAAATGCTCTTTTAAAAAGCAACCTCTTGGAGTCCTCAAAACTGAGTGATTTCATTTGGTAAACATTACCGCCTTGCGAAGACAAGTATGATGCAATGTCATTGCTACGTGTTGTAGTGATTACTCTGCTACCACAATTGTTATTCATTAATGCAAGCTTGATGGTCTCCCATGGTTTTGCATCCCATACATCATCAATTACAATGAGGTACCTGCAAATAATTTTAACAACGATGCAGTTAGTGCTGAAGCCTGTAAGGCTATATTGTGTGTGCCAATGACATTTTGTTGGAGTGTGGCAAAAATACATACAGGTCTATGTGAATGGTATTATGAGTAGCGATACTTTTGCAGAGGTAATAGAGATTTACATCCTAATAACTCCAATCCACTAAGGTATTAAAGATTTACATCCTAATAACTCCAATCCACTACGAAAATGGAGTTCTCTTAGTGTTTTTAAGTAGTAATAAAACACTACAACTAGTCATAGCACATGAGAATCCTCACTGGGAGGCATTTGGAAGGGAAAGTTTATACTAAATGTTGAATGCAGATTCTGGTTGCGATCATTAGGTGTATTACGATTTCAAAATGTCTTTAAATGTATACTTCGTCCACATATTTCTCTTACAATATTTCATCTATTGGGTACAAAATAAATATCTTATTATATCATCAATTACTACAAAATAAATGCCATGTTAAATATCCGAGATTTTTGCTTATTCATCTAAATTTCAAATTTCAATGCACTAAGCATGCATGTGATTTGCAATTTACCAATTATTGGTCAAATTTTATGAACTTTAACCTTTTATTATCTTATTCTGTGCACTAAAAAGAAACCGACGGAGAAGTAGATGTAACTTAATTTTTTATTATATTCTTCCTGGCGAAAAGGTGTTATATCCTAGCAGTAAATATTACTCCTACATAAAGGGAACAGCTCTCCAAGTCCTATAGCCCTGTACAACATTATTGAACTTTGTCATATCATAACCCTAAAATAACAGCTACATTTGGGCGCACTTATGCTAGCCACACTAGCTAGGTTTTACTTCATCCATTTGGCACATTAGTGTCGTATGCATAGACAGAGGAGTTATAAGAATGAGAAAAAAGAATAATAAATAATCACAAATCCTTGCTTGAGTTCTATCTGCTAATATATATTGAAGTACATGTAGAAGGTAGAAAGATTTTAGTAAGTACACTAACATTTCAATGAATGCCTTAATGGACATGCAAACAAAAATCAAGCCCTTCTGAAACGGATCGGAAACATGGCAATTAAAAATGGAGATACAATTTGTTTCAATGTCATACAATTTGTTTCAATGTCTAAACAACAAATATCTAATGAATGTTGTATAAGAGTGAATTCCGGAAAAATAAAGTTATTTCTAACTAACTGTAGAAGAAATATATTTTTTGGAATAGTTTGAAAGAACTTAACTAATTGTGCTCACATAATGCAAAACTAGCTTTATATTGTGGAAACCAAAGAAAAGTGACTGTAGTTTTGTAATGTTTTTGTAGTTTTGTGTAATTATTGGAGCAAAATATATAGTTAAGTCCTCTGAAACTATTCTCAAATTCTGTGGTTTCTTTATAGATGCAAATAGTTGTAATTAAATCCAGATGTAAACTAATTTAGTGGGGTTACTTGTTGAACTAGCAAAGGAGGAAATATGTTAGGGAGCCATGCAAGTTTTACTAATAATAATTAACATACCAGTACATGTTTCTTTTTAGTTTTCCTATAATTAGGGAGTAGCACTTGCAAATTCATTTCATAGGTGCTAAATATTCTACCAATTTCAACCCTACAATTTTACTGTCATTACGTTACAGCACACATGCAAACATTATCATAGATAATCTGCTGGCTTACCTTTTATCCTGAAGGTGTTCCCTGAGTTTATCAATGAGTTCCTTCTCATCATCATCCAACATATTACTGGTAATACCAACTCCTTTTGCAATGCCTCTTAATACTTTTCTGACATCAGGAGTTCGAGAAACCGACACAAATGCTGCACATTTGAACTGGTTTTTAATGTCCTCATAGACTAGCTTTGCAAGAGTTGTCTTACCAAGACCTCCACAACCAGCAATTGAGACAACTTTAAGTTTTGCAGATGACCCATTCATCACCATGCTTAACAACTCAATGATTTGCTTCTTAGGGGCATCGATGCCCACAAGTTTATCAATATCCTCGTAGAGTGCCTGCAGCCTAGGATCAACAGAAGAACTGCTAGATTTGTTTTTCAGTTGGGCCAAATCATACCTCTTGTGCCTCTCGCTTGCCTCTAGAACAGATGCCTTGAGTTCTTGGATCTGATTGGCAATATCATGGCGTTGCTTCAGTTTCTTCAGCTTGCGGAAGAATCCCTTGATTAATGCCGAATGTCCATCACGCTCGTGGTCAACACGAGATATGAAGGCATCAATGCAATCTTCCAAGTCATATGCCAGCTCACGTAACTTGTCCCTCCATGCCGTCATCTGAGGGTTGAGCTCCTCTGCATCCGCAAGCATCTCAAGCGTGGGACTCATGGCTCTCAACTTGTCTCTCAAAAACTTGATCTGCTTGCGGACACCTTTGAGCTTGACGTACTCTTCTTCCAGCTGCCGTAGCCATTTTTGCTCATCTGGTGAGCTCGCTGGAATGCGGTGGTGGTGCTGTGGAAAAGCACTGATTTCAGATCGTGTATTGTATGAGGTGCAGGGCAACGCCTGTTTCTTAAGGAAGAGTAGCGGTGGGTTAATTGTCTTTGGTCCTCTAGATCCACGAAAAATAATTAAGTATTAAGCTTAGCTTTAGTAAAAGTGCTACTGCACACATAGCCATGTAAACGTGACTCAGAGCAGCATCTTGATTAAAGTTCTATCATGCTATGTCGGCAGGCTTTACCACGGGAAGAACGTAGCATGTGATGCGCACTGTCTGGGTTAATATTTCTTTCTCGAAGAACCATATAGGCTAAGCTTTCCATGCAAATAATAAGGAGACGGTGGCATGCATATATTAGATCATCGAGGTTTATTGCACAGGGCGCGTCGATTTGGCGAAGTAGTTCAGCCTAATCGGCCAGAGATGCTAAATTTGCTCAATTTAATAAGGAGAAACGGTGGCAGTATCTGGCCGTCTGCGTGAGAAACCATACTGGCCTAGTGGGCAGCAAATTATTTTGAGTATAAAAACAGAGATGAAAGCTGATAGAGAAGCCAAGAGAGGACAGGGGAGGTGTGGTGCGCCCGTTGGGAACTTGGGGAGTTGGGATGCCTTGATGACCGAAGTTGCAAACATTAGCTACCTGCCTACCTTTCCCTACGCGTCTTGGCTCCCACTAATTAACTCCGTGCATGCTATTAGCATATTGCTCACCAAGTTTTCAATTTAAATATCAATACAGTGATGGCAGAAATTAGAAATTCAAATTTTTACATATGATGATGTTTAGAAGAAGATCATAAATAATATAACTTTTACGAAAAGCGATTCTTGGTGAAACGATTCTTCTGTTTCCGTTTTTACCCCTAGGCAAACTCCTCTGGATAGGAGGTAGACTAGTCTTAATAAATTCGAGTTGTCTTGGTTGCCCATGTTCATGTTCTACTTTTTAAGGCCCTATGAATTTTTTCCAGAAAAGTAAATTATTTTATATAAAGATTTTATTTATTTGTAAAATAAAAAAACTCGATCCGCGGGGAACGACGTCCCATCGGGTATTTCATTAAGAAGAAGACCTTCTCATGTAGACTGAGAAAATCCTCGAACCCTGGCCCCACCCATATATAGCGGCACCGCAACCCCGTGAGACAGGACGGCAACAGACCTGTACTTTGGTGTGGGACAGACGAGGGGATTTTTTTTACCCCCAGGCCTGAAATTCGCCCCCAAGGGGGATCGAACTCAGGACCTAAGGGATGCTACAGGAAGGGTCGACCAACCGGTCTAGCTTACATTGGCTTTATTGGTAAAATGATCAGTTTAAAAAGAAACATATAGACTAGAATAATGAAATATTCTTTCTCAACCAAAAAACTGGGCCCCGTTCGCAATGATACTGAACAAATTTTGCAGTTAGCGGTGTGTATCTAGTGGCAAAGAAACATGATTTCGTAATGATACTGAACAAATTTTGCAGTTAGCGGTGTGTATAAGGCAAATACTATGTATGAGCGGTGCCCCTGAGAAAAATTTTCCTAATCTAAAATAGTATCATTCAATGTACTTGACTGTCCACTAGTAGAGAAACGACTTTCGATCTAGCTTGAAATTTGGCTTTAGTCCTGGTATTTTTCGTGCCCGGTACTAGAGAGACCTTCGGTCCCGGTTTGTAGCTCTAACCAGGACTAAAGGTCCCTGCCCAACAGCTACCGCGCCAGGCTTTTGCTGGAGGAGTCCTTTAGTCCCGGTTGGAGCTATCAACCGGGACTAAAGGTTAACTTTTACTCCCGGTTGGTCCCTCCAACCGGGAGTAAAAGTCTACTCCCGACTGGAGGCTCCGTCCAGGACTAGAAAGGGACCTTTAGTCCCGGTTTCTATCTCTAACCGGGACTAAAGGTACCCTCCTATATAGCCCTTGTTCCCCCCCGAGCCCGAGCCACTTCGAGCTCAGCGTTCTTGCTTGATCGTCGGCCTCTCTTCTTCCTCATCACCGGTGTATCATAAGATTTCTTCCATTCCTCCATCGATTCTTCGGTTCTAAAGGTTATCAACTTTATACTCTCATGTTTCATCAGTAGCTTATTTCATTTTGTGGACTAGATATATGTGGTTTTTTTTATGGTAGATTTTTTTATTTGTAAGCCATTTAATCTCAAAATCACTTTAAAGTTTGCGTATTTGGATGAAGGAAGGTTGAAGTAGTTATTCAATACTAGCATTGAGCTTTCATTTCTAGGATGCATAGCACACTTCATGCTTTAGAGATATAGAGAATTTTAGAGTTTTTTTAATTTTATTTGTTTATAAAATGAGAAATTTATATTATATTAAAAATGAGTATAGAGAGTAGATGGCAACTGCTTCCGGGTCCTCGGCCTCTCATCGGGTTACAAAGCGTCTGAGGCCGGACCTTCCTCTCATTGCATGCGGCAAGTGTGAGGAGAAGATTGTGATGGAGTACCGAGTGAGGAAGGAGTGTCCCAACAAGGGCCGTATCTTCTACACGTGTCCGGATCGCAATGTGAATTATTTTGTCGCATTTGATGATTATGATTAATTTATACTTATTTTTATGATGATTGTAATTAAAGTTCTAATTTTTTGTTTTAATTTCAGTGGGATGGCACTGGATGTTCAGGCTGGTACTAGGAGGAAGAGTATGTTGAACACGTGCAAAACTCTCTTGCACAGGCGGCTACGGCAGCTGATGAGACAGTGATCCTGTGAAAGAAGCCCATAGATGTTGAATAAACACATTATCTGTCTGTTTTAGTTGGGATTTGGTCGTGAAATCCTTATGCTGCTGAAGTGCATTTTAGCTTTGGTTTTTTAGTGGTAGTTGGGATTGTCTACATTGTAGCGAGACTTTCATAAATTAATACCTTGTGCGGTGGCATGCATGTTGTATAATTAACTAATTATGTTCTATGTTTTAATATGGTATGTATGTCATGTAATGCAGATGAGCCGGCATTGGATGTACAATGCTGATCGCCGCTCCTAAGAGTTCATTGAGGGCGTGCATTCTTTCTTACGTGTGGCCGAGGCAAACAAACGCGATGGTTTCATGTGCTGTCCATGTGTCATATGTAAGAATTTGAAGGAATATGCTAGCTCAAGGAGTCTTCATTCACACTTGTTGAAGTCGGGTTTCATGCCAAACTATATTTGTTGGACGAAGCACGGAGAAACCGGGGTTGTAATGGAAGAAGGTGAAGAAGAACAATGGGACGATGATGACATTATTGCTGAATATGGTGCCTTCAATGATACTGCAATGGGAAAAGATGAAGAAGAGGTAGTGGCAGAAGATGAGCCCGCTGATGATCTTGGTCAGGCCATTCGTGATAGACAAAGAGAATGCAAAAGTGAAAAGGAGAAGATCAAGTTCGAGCGCATGCTAGAGGATCACAAGAAATTGCTATACCCAACTTGTGATGCGGGACAGAAAAAGTTGGGTACCACACTGGAATTGCTGCAATGGAAGGCAAAGAATGGTGTATCTAACAAGGGATTTGGAGAGTTACTGAAAATCCAAAAGAAGATGCTTCTGAAGGATAACGAATTGCCCATCACTACGTACGAAACAAAACAGGTAGTCTGCCCTTTGGGATTAGAAATCCAGAAGATACATGCATGTCCTAATGACTACATCCTCTACCATGGCGAGGAGTACGAGAAGTTAGATGCATGTCTGGTATGTCATGCATCGCGGTATAAGATCAGGCGAGATGACCCTGGTGATGTTGAGGGCGAACGTCCCACGAAGAAAATCCCTGCCAAGATTATGTGGTATGCTCCTATAATACCACGCTTGAAACGTCTTTTCAGAAACAAAGACCATGCAAAGTTATTGCGATGACACAAAGAAGACCATAAGGTAGACAATATGTTGAGACACCCTGTTGATGGGTCCCAATGGAGAGCAATCAATAGAGAATTCCCGGAGTTTGCAAATGACGCAAGAAACTTAATGTTTGCTTTAAGTACGGATGGTATGAATCCTTTCGGGGAGCAGAGCAGTAGTCATAGCACTTGGCCTGTTACTCTATGTATCTACAACCTACCTCCTTGGTAATACATGAAGCGTAAGTTTATTATGATGCCAGTGCTCATCCAAGGCCCAAGGCAACCTGGCAACGACATCGATGTGTACCTAAGGCCACTAGTTGAAGAACTTCTACTTTTGTGGAACAGACCAGGTGTACGTGTGTGGGATGAGCACAAATAGGAGCACTTTGACCTGCAAGCATTGTTGTTCGTAACAATCAATGATTGGCCTGCTCTAAGTAATCTTTCAGGACAATCAAACAAGGGATATAATGCATGCACGCACTGTTTTGATGACATTAAAGGTATATTCTTGAAAAAATATCGAAAGGTCGTGTACCTTGGCCATCGTCGATTTCTTCCTGCGAATCACCCCCTAAGAAAGAAAGGCAAGCATTTTAAAGGTAAGGCAGACCACCAGTCCAAGCCGGGCAACCGAACTGGTGAGGATGTACTCAATATGGTCAAGGATGTGAAAGTAGTATTTGGAAAGGCACATGGCAGCAAACCTGTTCCGAACAACGCCGACGGTCACGCACCCATGTGGAAGAAGAAGTCCATATTTTGGGAGCTACCCTATTGGCAAGTCCTAGAGGTCCATAGCGCGATCAACGTGATGCACCTGATAAAGAATCTTTGTGTGAACATGCTAGGCTTCATGGGTGTGTATGGGAAGCCTAAGGACACACTTGAAGCATGACAAGACCTGCGATGTTTGAAAGAACGAGACAACCTACATCCAGAGAAGACAGATGATGGACGCCATTACTTAAGTCCTGCTAGCTACACTCTTAGCAAAGAAGAGAAGGAAAGCATGTTTGAATGCCTAGCAAGCATCAAGGTACCATCTGGATTCTCCTCGAATATAAAGGGTATAATAAATGTGCCAAAGAAGAAATTCCTAAACTTAAAGTCCAATGACTGCCACGTGCTCATGACGTAATTGCTTCCAGTTGCATTAAGAGGAATTCTACCTCCAAATGTACGTCTAGCCACCGTGAAGCTATGTGCATTCCTCAATACAATTTCTTAGAGGCAATCGATCTAATGGATCTAGCTAAACTACAGAATGATGTGGTTCAATGTCTTGTCAGCTTTGAGTTGGTGTTCCCTCCTTTCTTCTTTAATATCATGACACATCTCCTAGTTCACCTGGTCAAGGAGATTAGCATTCTCGGTCCTGTGTTCCTGCACAACATGTTCCCATTTGAGAGGTTCATGGGAGTCCTAAAGAAATATGTTCACAACCGTGCTCGGCCAGAAGGAAGCATCGCCAAGGGCTATGGAACAGAGGAGGTCATTGAGTTTTGTGTTGACTTTATTCCCGACCTTGACCCGGTTGGTGTTCCTGAATCGCGACATGAGGGGAGACTAAGTGGAAAGGGGACACTAGGGAAGAAAACATATATTGGTACGCAGGACAATTATTTTAATAAAGCACACTACACAGTTCTGCAAAACTCCTCCTTGGTGGATCCATATATCGAGACACATAAAGAGTTGCTCTGATCCGAGTTTCCATGGAAGTCTGAAGCTTGGATTACGCGTCAGCACATGGAAACTTCCAGCGACTGGTTGCGAAAAGAATGTCAGGGTGATGAGAGTATTGATGAGCAACTGTATTTGTTGGCTAGGCAGCCATCGTGGCATATCCTCACATATAAAGGGTACGAGATAAATGGGAATATATTTTACACAGTAGCCCAAGATAAAAGGAGCACCAACCAAAACAGTGGTGTCCGCATAGATGCCATCGACCCTAATGGAAATAAGCAAACATATTATGGCCGCATAGAGGAGATATGGGAACTAAACTATGCACCTACTTTTAAAGTACCTTTGTTCAAGTGCCAATGGGTAAAGGCGACTGGAGGCGGGGTAGC